AATATTTTATATTTAAAGTAATTTATTTAAATATTAAAAAATGCAAAAGTTGAACCGGTCGGTTCAAGAGTATCTAGACCGGTTCAACAGTATCTGGTTGAACTGGCGGTTTTATCCGGTTTTGGCCGATTTGATGCAAAAGCGATTCTTAGCATAAATCGGATCGGCCGTAAGATCGGTTCACGATTGCACATGCCATCCAAATATCTCAGGCTCATGGAAAAGCTTGGCCAAATCCAGTGACCGATAAGCTGGCTGTGTTCACTACCTAACTTTTCAGCAAGGAAACAAACAACTGTTTGAAGAATCAAAATTCATTTGGTAAGACTTTCTCATTGCTTTTTAAAATATTTTTTTGTTCAAAATAAAAAAAAAATTAAATTAAAAAAATGCTTTAAGAAGAAGCAATAAAAAAAATCATCCCAAACAAAATCTCAATCTAAGCCAAAATATAACTTTTTTTTTTTGGTTTGTTTTTTTTAAGCCAAAATATAACTTTAAGTCTTGAATACAATGAATTTTTCGGATTCTATCATTTGGCTACATGCACTTCAAAATCAATATAAATATCCTTAGAATCCTCGAATGTGATGAATTATGGGTGGTATGTATATAATATTAAAATTTAATGTGTTAAATATGTAAGGGGGGGGGCATGTGCCCCCAAGGCCCCCCTTAAATCCGCCCATGCGAGAGAGGTGGGATCTAGAAGGCATTTGGAATTAAGTGTTATTTTTTTTTATATTTAAAGTTTTAAATAAATTTAAGAAAAAAAAAGCCCCCCTTAAATCCGCCCATGCGAGGGAGGTGGGATCTAGAAGGCATTTGGAATTAAGTGTTATTTTTTTTTATATTTAAAGTTTTAAATAAATTTAAGAAAAAAAAAATATAAATTAAAAAAGTTTAAGTGGTACCGTACATCTATGAAAATCCTCGAATGTGATGAGTAGCTTCAAAGAGTCGATTCAGATAAATTAGAGACTTCAAAAGTAGGATTTTCAAAGGTAGTTCGGTATTCAAGAATTGAATCTTGTAGAGGTAATTTGGAAAAAATGTCATGCAATCTTCACATGTAGACATACCAAAATGTTCTTGTAACGATAAAATAAATTCGGGCTGATAAAATTAATGACCATTTATGCATAAACATTGGTTCCCAATAACAACGGGACCTTGAACATTAAGGCTTCGTTTAGGACGGATTTTTAACTGCTTCTTAAAGTAATTTTCTAGTACAATAAAAAATTTTCTACTAAAAATTTGCTTTATGAAGCAATAAGAAAGCCATCCCAAAAGAAACCTAAGACTTCATTTGGGACGGGTTTTTTGATGCTTCTTAAATCAGCCAAAAACTATAAAGCTGCTTTAAGAAGAAATAAAAAAGTTGTGTCAAACGAAACCTAAATGAAGCAATTCTAATGTGTTGACAGTCCAGAGTGTTGTGAAAATTGAAGTATTCTTGTACACTAAAGGATCCCTATTTCCACGTTGGATCCATTAAAACAAGGTTAAAAAAGAGTGAAAATATAATCAGCATTTTTTAATCATATTTTATATTTTCGAGCAAATAAATGAGCCCTTGAATGATGGGAGCAGGAAACACAATTGCTGAAGCACAACATATATGAAGAGCAGTTTGTTTGATCATAATTGTTGGAATTAACTTTTCACTCCCATTTAAGCTTGGGATTTGTCATAATTTGGTTCAAGTAACAGGTGCCAAAATTGCTCTGCTGCCTCCCATGACCACACCAAAGTTTCAAAGTTGAAACAGTTAAGAAAAAACAAAAGAAAAACCTTTTAGCATCTCTAGACATCGTGAAATTATTCTGTGGGGAGTCCGAACGTAGAAGATCTTCCGGATTACTGCATATCCTATGCTTAAGCTCTGCTTATTTACTGCATATATACTACATATTTGTAGATAAGCAGTAAATAAACAACAAATATTAGTTGTGAGGATTTGCTGCTTATTTGCTGCGTATCTACAAAGACGCAGAGTGTAAGCAGAGCGTACACAGTGCGTCTTGTAATCCGGATGATCCTCTACGTTCAAACTCCGCACATAATAATTTCCCCTAGACAACAGCGAGTAAGAAGCCCCAGAAGAACGCTGAAAATGAACTGGGAGATCACTTTATGGTAAAGAAAAAGTTAGTTGCTATCGGGTTTTTATACCTATTTCTCCTGTCTGACAGTCCAATGGAGATCTGCAGTGCCTTTGCAGTTCAATTAACCTCTCCATGTTGAAATTCTTCTTGTGAAGTAGCTTCCTCTGTCTTGATAGGAAGAGCCTCTTCATCAGATCCTGATATGTTGGATCCTTTGAGGTGAATAAGAAATAGGCATAGCCAACAAGGATTCCTGCTGTGGTTGTAAAGAATGCTATGGGCTCCATCACATCCCATGAGAACTCCCAGAAGGTGAGCCTAAAGAAGAGCCCAACTTGCACGACAAAGAACCCCAGTCCAGACCACAAAATGCTCCGAACTTGTTTGTGAGCAAGCAAATCGATCTCATCCTTCTTTTTCTTAAGCTGGTTTAGCTCTTCATGCCGAGGATCATTCTCAGGTGGCAAAGCAAGAGGTACTGCCCTTCTCACTAGATCCACAACCTATAACAATTTAGGAGAATTGCATGCGTTGATATTAAGAGTTAAGGAGTCCTCAGTTATGAAAATTCTTGGAAATATCTAAAAAGTTAGTTGGAGAGAAGAAAACATTCACTAACCACTTGATAATAAAATTTTATTCATAATTTTAAACATACCCTTAACTTATAAACACAAAGTGATGATAAACTAATGTGCAAAATTGTTACTTCACAAATACAAATATTACTGGTTCTTCAATCTTCCTATAAGTACTTCAGTTTTGCATTTTAAATATTTTTGAGTTATCTTAATCCCACGCTTTCAATATAACTTTATTAGTGCATAGTGCTGAGAAGCAATTAACAAATGAATGACAGAATATGGTAATGAAGTTAGATGTCAAATGCATAGCCCTGAAGTCCAATTGATGTGAAACGTACATGCGATGATGGGTTTCGTAATGAAAGCTTGCACGCTTAATTTTAGATAGAACAAATAATTATATCTTTATAATAATTTGAACGACGAGATAAAACATTAAGAACGGAAAAACGAGCTTACGGTTGAATCACACGGGTAAGAGTTAAAATCATATAACAATCAAGTCAATCTAACGTTGCGTACATGAAAATCATGATCGTGGCCATCGATCTCCGGCATCTCCTGAAGGTACATGTGTCGAAATCGCTGTTGATGTCCCCATCACCAATACTGTATTCTTTCTCACTTGTTGTCTCCTTTTTGTACAGAATGGGCAACATGATGCATCCTTTTTTGCTAACAGTTCGTGCTGATACTTGGGTCGAACACTTAAAACTTGCTTAATAATCACTTAAACTATTGGATGATTATTGTAGTGCCATTGCCCTAAAAATCATTTATGGTGTAGAATGTTGGTCATTAAAAGAGAAGCATAATATTTAGTTAAGTGTTATAGAGATGAGGATGCTTAGGTGGATGAGTGGCTTTACTCTTAGAAACAGGATATGAAGTAAACATGTTCGTGAAAAAGTTGGAGTGGTTCCAGCAGAAGATAGGATTTGAGAGAGTCGCCTTAGATGGTTTGATCACATAAAACGGCGGCCTTCTGATGACCCGGTTAAGAAAGTAAATGCATTAGATTTGGCTTATGTTAAGGTAGAGGTAGACCTAAAACGACTTAGCTAAAAAATATTAGAAATGATCTTTTTTTTTTAAATTTAATGAGAATTTAAATCTTAACATGAGACAATGGAAAAAAAGTATTCATGTGGTTGACCCCACGTAGTGGGATAAAGGCTTGATGTTATTGATACATTGTGGCACATGTGGGTACTTCGACTTAGACACAGGCTGAGTTTGAGTTCCAAGAATCCAATGGAAAGAATCTAATTACTTTTATTCTCCTTTATTTAGATAAGATAATTTTATGTTTTATAATCATCCAGCATATGCCCAGCAAAAGCTGATTCTGAAACCACAATTATTGCAATAATGAGGCACCCTGGCCTTTTTTTGCTAATTTAGGTAACTTTTTATAGAGTTTAATTTCCACCAATCAAATATCTCTAGAGAATCCCAAGTTCTTGTGGCATTTTAACAGTATTCTCATTCACTTCTAGTAACAGATTTTAAGGGTTCGGTTGCGTAAGTGGATTTAAGAAAATCCAAAGTCACGTAATGTTGACGTGAGAAAATCACCAATGGGTATTTTTTCAAAGGCATTCTATTGAGAGGTATATTTAATAATAATAACAATTAGTTAAATGAGTTATGGCAGGAGTGGCAAAATAAAAATTGCAAATATCAATAGATTCTACCACAAAAAAAACGGAAATCAAGTTCAATGCAGGAATAAATTGCTCTCAAAGCGAATTGAAGAGATCACATTTTTTCAAAGAGAATCAAACACTATTGCTATTGCCATTAACAAGTTGAAACCAAACTAATAATTTTCAAAATTCACCTTCATATTCAGATATGAACATAAAGATTATTCACTTCCAAACATATCATTTCTTCTGTAAGTGTTCTACCGTTACCAGGCAAAGCATAGGCCATCCTTAAAGTTCCGCTACAAAGCTTCAAACTAGACCCTTAGACTTTGTTTGGGACGGCTTTCTTACTACGGCTTAAAGTAGCTTTCTAGTACAAAAATTAAAAACAATATGAAAGCAATTACTGCAAATAATTCATCCAAACATCTAAGTCCTATCTACAACATTCAAGAAAATTAGAAAAAATACAGTTTCAACGAAAGACAGAACTAAAGCACAGAAGTCAGAAGGCAAACGAAAGTAAAATCATGGAAAGAAGTTTTTGTATGAAAATATTCAGAATAAAATAGAGAAAACAAGGAAGAAAACAATTAGGAAAGACATAATTAGCACACTAGAGCCACAGAAGAAGGACCTCTAAAGCACAATTTAGGAAAGCCTTCTATTTACTCAGCTGCAATTAACAGATAATGCATATAACATAAAATAAGAGCTTTGCTTTCAAAAAATAAATGAATCTTCATTAATTTCCTTACACTTTCCTATTATAGAGAGAGAGAGAGAGAGAGAGAGAGAGTACATATGCTTGAAATGGAAGATGTTTGAGTGAAGGTTACCACAACAAAGGAGCCAAAATACAGATGATGGATATGATCAATTGGAAGCAATATTCCAGGAAAATGTGATGATGACATCGCAAATATAAAAGGTAACCGATCACTCAATCCTTGCTTCACTCATTGAACTCACTCATAAATATAATGAACTACAAAAGGTTGTATATCCTGCTGATGCAAAGCTTGTACGAAAAGGCTCCAATTATGACAGTAAAGTTACATCAACCATATAAGCCCCAACTTAAAATATGCAAAGCTTGTACGGAAAGGCTCCAATTATGACAGTAAAGTTACACCAACCATATAAGCCCCAACTTAATATGCCATCAAATTTCATGAATTAATGCTATAAAAAGTATACAATGATCACTCCCAAATATTTTTGATAGATATAAGACCCATGATCAAATTATAAGGTATCTTGTTCAATTATAAGATGTTTTACTCATACATAAGATCATTCATCCAAATATGAGACTTCTTAGATATATGATTGATATATCATAAAAAAATTATCTTGATCGGGCACGAATCTCGACGCAAAATAAAGTTGGAAACTTCAAAAATTAATTCAGAGACCATATGAACTCCAATTTCAGCAAACTTACATTCGAACTGAGCTTCTCGAAAAGACAAACCAAACGACACCAAATTCAACTCAATCCGATCCCAAATGGGTCCGAATCGAAGACCCGAAGCACTGTTGGAAGGTTTAAACCACAATTTGGATTACCAAATAGTTTCCAAACATGACATGCTTATAGTCGAATAGAGCGGCTCAACGATACGAATCCAAAGAGCCCAAGATCACCAAATTCCGATATCATTAAGACCTTCAAATGTCTGACGAACGGTCCATGATCAAGGGATTCAATATCCGCCGTCCATCCGAACCACTCCACATTTGCCCTTGATCCTCCTATTTACGGGTCATGTCATCCTAAAAAAACTATAAATAGCCCCTCATTTCTCTAAAGAGGGGACCCAAGCAAGAGAAGAAGAATAAGAGAAGAGAAGAAGGGAAGGAGGGAAGAAACTCCTCCTCGACCACCGCCGGAGTTTCGCCCGACGTTCAAGTAATGCCGAAATTCTACCCAACTTCCAAGTGACGCCAGAATTCCCCCCGACTTCCAAGTGACGCTGAAATTTTTCCCGGCTTCCAAGTGACACCGGAATTCTGCCCGACTTCCAAGTCACACCGAAATTCCGCCTGACTTCCAAGTGACGTCGAAACTCCGCTCTATCTCCAAGTGAAACTGGAGTTTTGCCCGAATACTATCTAACGTCGGAGTTCTCCCCGGCCGCCAACTGACTTCGGCTACCCGACGCCGGGTAGGACTTCCGCTCGTTGCCAAGTTTTTACCCGACGCCGGACTTCTGCCTCTTGTCGGACTTCCGCCAGACATCTATCCGATGCTGGATTTCTGTCAATTGATGTATTTTTACTTGATGCCATTCTTCTGACCTTCGTCGTCATACAACGGCCCTTCTAACCTCCGTTACCCGCCGACTACGGTCCTTCTGACTTACGTCGCCCACCGACTACAGTCCTTCTGACCTCCGTCGCCCGCCGACTACGGTACTACGGTCCTTCTGACTTACGTCGCCCACCAACTACAGTTCTTCCGACCTCCGTCGCCCGCCGACTACGGTCCTTCTGACTTACGTCGCCCACCAATTACAGTCCTTCAGACAAAACAAACACATCAGCAGTGATTCTTCGTATTCTCATTATGTAATGTACTCTATAAGATGTACATCAAATTAAGGTCTTCCCCAAAGGAAGGGCCTCATTTGTAATCAACTGCAATACTAGTGGATTCATTCAAACTGGGCTAGGCCCCGTGGTTTTTCCCCTTTTTCAGAGATTTTCCACGTAAAAATCTTGGTGTCTCATAAATGTTGGACCCTCTCTCTTATCTGATTGCATGCTGGATTTTCGTACAATGCTAAGAAATTAAACATTATATTTCTCTACCGCCGCGAATACTCCAGGGCGCAACAATAATAATGCAGTAGCAATACACATTCAAAGTCTTATGATCTGATCTCAAATAAAGGCATTGTATTGTGAACGAGTGAATTTCAAAATAGGGTAATGAGTTGGGACTATGTGATGATCCCCATCACTTCAAGGTCAGTTAGACAGTCCTTGCCCCAATTTGCTTTTTTTCATCAGAGGGGTGCAATCAAAGAGAAAACATTAAAAGCAATATTAAAAAGAGGGATGAAAAAGTAAATAGTTTGGTGGCCTTTGCCTTCATCCACTGACCAAGACAATAATTTTTTTCATTGCTTCGTAGTCATTTCCCCTTTGTGTTTATCCACTGACCAACACAATAAATTTTTTCCTTGCTTCGTAGTCATTTCCCCTTTTACAATGAGCTACCCATGAGATGCCTACCTATTCATGGTGCCCATTGATTAC